AAAAAAAAAGAGAATGTAACTATATATCTATCCTAACCACTTTGCTGGGATTTTTTTTGAGACAGGGTCTTGCTATGTAGTTTGGGCCGGCCTTGAACTCATGACAGTCCTGCCTCAGCTTCCCAAGTTCTGGGATTACGGGCATGTGTCACCAACCCCAGCTCTGGCTCTTGCTTTCTTATGCCAGTTTGTTTTTTTTGTGATTTAGTGGATTGAACTGAGCGAGGTGGAAACTAAGACCAAACTGACCTGTTTAAGTGTTCCACTGTTGAGGCCTATGAGGTTAGGGACCCTTTTTCAGACCCTTATAGTTGGATTAATTTGCAATCCCAGTGTCCTTCTTAGCCCCACATGGGCAATACTAAACACAAAATGCAAGATGGCCCGTGGACTACTGAGCCTTGCCCAGATTTCTCATAATATTCCCAACTGAGTGGGAAAATATTAAAATGTTTCCAATAGAGTGCTGGTTTGAAATGAGACTCTGATGTATGCACATGATGCGAAACCATCAGCACAACCCAGATCATGGACATATTCACACCTCCACACCTCCTTGTGCCCCTCTCCAGCCTGCCTGCCCACCACCCCTGCCCTCAGGCAGCCACTGATCTGCTTCTTGTTACTAATGATTAATTAGCACTTTTAATAGTATTCCATTGTGAATTTTATCTTATTTGGTGTTGGAAATTTTTGTATTCCTATAAATATTGGGCTATGTTTTGGGAACTGGTTAACAATGAGCAGCTTAACTCTTTCATATTTTGCTTTTAAATGTGAGGCAGAACCAGAGATGTTTACATCTAGACCAAGTTTTCTTCATTACTGAGGCAAAATGTTTGAGTGCTTTAGTCAGCATCCTGTGAACAAAGAAGTTTTCTACTCTGGAGAGAGTAGAACCTATTTCTGGTCCTGTGTGAACTCCAGAAAGTTTCCTCTAATTCTTTCAGGTGGTTTCCTCATACATAAGTACTGACCATCACTCAAGGGGAGGGGAACCCTGTGCAGGTCTGTGGGTTCAGTATCTGCAGCTCTCTCCTCTCTGGTAAACCAACCTGCAGATTCTGGCTTGGTTCCTCAATCTGGGAAGACTCTAGGGTCTTGGATTCCCTGGCTTGCTGTCTAGGTGGGAAACTTTCAAAGCAGTCAGCTGGGGTAAGCACAGGGCACATCATGTTTGTTTGCCATTTCTCTATGTTCACCATCATGAGAATAGTCTTATATACTCTTTACATTATTTCGGGATGGGAGCTAAATCTGGTTGTTTTTTTTTTTTTTCGGCTAGAAGTAGAAGTTCTCAAACTACTTTTGATACTGTCATAAATGGTGCTATGAACTTGATATCCTAGACTCCATGCTATGATATACAAGTATCTTCAGTTGCTACTCTTATTGAGCAACACCTGCAATTCATTATATACAACATAACAAAATAAAGTGTAGCTTCCTGCACTCAAAAAGTTTTAAGTCAGGCATGGTGGCACATATCTTTAATTCCAGCATTGTGAAAGGCTCAGGCAGGTAGTAAATTCAAATTCAGCCTAGGCAAGTTAAGAGAGACCTCATTTCAATATAAAAAAGGGCCGGGAATGTAGCTCAGTGCAAAGGCACTATATTTCAACTCCTAGCACAATGTATATGTGTGTTGGTCTGAGACTGCTGAGTATTCTGCTGAGATTATGGCTGTAGCAGTGCTGTATTCACACTCTGGGCTTGTCAGGGCCTGTCCTTCAGACACCAAAACCTACGTGGGGTGGTAGAAAGCCAGAGTAGAATGGGTCCTGAAGGACAGGACTTAAAGCAATGACCTATTCCAACTCCCTTACTCTTAATCAAAGAATGTTGAAGTGTGACCTACATTGCCTCTACTGCTCCCTTGAAAGCCTGGAAGTTCCTGTTTGACTTGATAAAGCATCCATTCCTTTTCTTCTCTTTGTCTCACTTTCCTTCTCCTGTGCTGGTTTTTCTTGGAAGCATTTCTTAGTTGTTTCTTTTCAGCTGGGAAATGTTTTTCAGTTGTTAGGATGGTTATGTACAATGTTTTATTATGTGTACACTCTGGGCCAGGTCCCACCAACCAGCTTCATCATGTGACCCTGCACGGCATGAGTACATCATGTCCTCCCACAGCTGGCGCTTTGAAGTGAAAATCCCAGCTGTAGAATCTATGGCTTCACACTAAATTTGAGTCCTGGCGATGAGTCCTACAAGCTAACTTTTTTTTTTTTTTTTTTTTTTTTTAATCCAATCAAGTATCCCACTAGTCTCCAACTCTTCCTTTCCTCACTACTTCTTTATTCGCACAGAATTCTTTGCTTACACCCTAGCCAGAATCTCCAAGTTTGCCCCTCACCCTCACCCCATGCTTCTATCCATGACTGATTTTAGTAACAACTCCCCTCAACTGAGTTTCTAGTGGCCCTTCACAAATTTGTCCAAACAGGTCTAGTGCTTACTTCAAATGAATGGGACACAGCCAACCAATGTCTTAGCAGTATGATGAAATTCTAAGCCTGGCCTGTCAGATGTGGAAGGCAACCAGAATTCCTCTCCTAGTGAACAGAACTCCTTTTGAAAAATGGGTTAGAGTTTCAATTAAGGTTTCTCAACCCAAGCACAACTGTTATGTTGGGGTAGGAAACTCTTTATTGTGGGGGAACTGTTCTATACATCGTAGGATGCTTCATATTTCTAATTTCTGCCCACTAGATGCCAAAAGCTATTTCTTAGTTGTGACACAAAGTATAAGATCAGGAGATAAAGACAGCTAGAAAGGAATAAAAGGCTCTTCTATTTTGATATGTAATTTTTTAATGGCAGAATAATTACCAGTGGTTTCTTATGAAATATATCTCTGTGTATCTCTTTTCCATAGATTATTTTTATAGTGTTAGTTGGGATCCTAGCACTTGGGAGGCTGAGGAAGGGCAACTGCCATGAGTTTGAGGCCAGTCCCAACTACATAGGTCAAGGACAGCCTGGACTAAATAGTGAGACCTGGTCTCAAAAAACAAAAGGGGAAAAAAAAAAAAAAGATATTTTGAGTCTTCTCAACCTTAGCAACTGTACAGAGCCTTATTTTGGAGATGTTTTTCTTCTCTTACATCTTTCCATATAAAATATTATGTGAATAACTGTTCAATCCCACATGTTTTGAACTTGTTATTCTTGTATGGAAAGTCTGCATGCGAGTAAGTAAATGACTAACTTTACCTGAACACTGTGGCGTGAGAGCCAGAGGGAAAGGGAAAGGAAAAGGAAACAACTGTTTTCCCCATATTTTTGCTCTCCTCTTATTAGGAAACAGGCTTCAACCTTATGCCCTTATGAAGTATTGTAGCCTCCTTTTCTAATTGCACATAAATGTATGAACTTGATGGGTAAATCATACTTAAGAATAAATGTTTAACAAGGAAAATTTCTGGGAAAAAAGAGACAAAAAATACTTTCTCATTCTAAATAATCTCCTGTTTGGCCTGAGATGCTCTAGGAACAAAGGTATGCTAGTTCCATCAGATTAATAAGCCACGTGCATCCCACGTCCTACTCTTTCAAGGATTACCATACTTTTATCCAACACAACTATGTTCTTGAACAGATAATTTTTTTTTTTTTTTTTTTTTTTTTTTTTTTTTGGTGGAACCGGGTATTGAACTCAGGCCCTTGCGCTTGCCAGGCAAGTGCTTATTCTACTGTGCCATCTCCCCAGCCGCCAACTATGTTCTTTGAGATACAAACTCTCATTGCTATTTTATATAACAGACAAATTTATTCATTGCTTCAGACATTTTATCTTTCTTATTCTAAGATTAGGCTTTGAGAAGTACAAAGTTCACAAAACAAATTATCTCTATATGGTAGTTTTAAAAATTCACGAAAACAAAATTTTTAAAAGTTGGGTAGTATTCATCTCTATATATACATGAATGATGGTCTTCTTGAAAGGTGGCTATAAAAATGGAACAAAGTCTTTCAATGTGATACATTTTGATATATTTCAGGAAATCTGTCTTTTACATTTAAACTGGACAGATTTCCTTTTTGTACTTTGTTAATAGCCCTGTTCCCTGTTTCCCCAGAGCTTTAGTAATATCTTCATTTTGTAGTCAACCTGTAATATTTACTTGAAAGAATCAGACAAGTTTTAGAAGCAAGAAAAGCTGGATTCAGATTTATAGCCATTGTTCTTTCCCATGTTAAAATAAAGGTAATCCTGAGTGATGAATTCTTATTAGTAATAATTTCTCCTCCTACAAAGATTTAATTTTCATCCCATGTTGATGTACTGCATTTATGAATTTTAATTCTTTCAAGTAAATTTTTTAAAGTTTTTTTGAAAAGTCTTTTTTTTTTTTTTTTTCCTATCCCAAAGATTTTGAATAAAAAGGATATTCCAATGGAAGGTCTAAGTTTATCTATTTTCTACCTACAAACCTGGTAGATACAGAGAACTAAGATCTCTATGACCTTTGTTCAGCAACTTTAAGTATGGCTGAAATTAAACAGTAAAAACAAAAACTTCCTTTTATTTAATTACAGGTAATAAAAAATATTGCTAGAATGTTGTAGACATGAAGCTGACTCAGAAGCTGTATCACAGCTTAGATTTTTTCTTCCTCTGCTTAATAAGAAATAAATTATCATTGGCATCATCTTCCACATATCTCTCCTTTTTCTTCTGCTTGTTCCGCTTGCTATCTCTGGGAAACTTATCTTCTCTTGGCTTGTGGTGATGTGATGAGTGATGAAGGGACTTGTGGGGCTTCTGGGTTTTAAAGCTGCTGGGAGAAGAGTGAGTGCCCCTAGGAAAGTCCTCATTCACTTCCCAATGTCTGTCAACCTTCCTATGCTTCTCTGGGTCTCTATTTCGGCTTATCATTTCTCTCTGACCTTCATCATCTGCAGGACACCACTTGCTTTCCTGGGAGGCATGGCTCTTCCTCATGTCACGGAGGGGTCTCTTATCTGCTGCTTCCATATGTGGTCTCTTGAACTGCCTTGGGAAATCCCCATTTTTCTGGAGTTCTGGAAAATATAAAAGTAGTTTTGCATATTCAGCAGCTAGACAGTTTATGCAGAGTTTTCACAGATCTGTAAATAACTTAGCAGATGAGGAAGACATTTGACATCCTAACAATATGACACTGTAAAGAAACCTTACTAAGGTTAAAAAAAAGTACTCATTGGAAATTGAATGGTTATAGTTCTACATTCCTGATTGCTGAAGAGGTAAAACATCCAAAATCCAGAGATATTTATTCTATTCACTACAGTTAACTACATTGAATGGAGACAAAGCCCAGTAAGAATAATCATCTTAGGTTTGTGAAGAAAAGTCATGTCTGGCCAAGTCAAGTTCTCTAGTGATAAAAAGCCCCTGAAGATAAGGTGAAGGGATATATATAAAGTAGCCTTCTGACAATCTCTTAAGACATTTCAGTTACCCTCTGATGATAAAAGTCTGGCCACAGTTCTGAGCGGTAGATGCCAAACCTCTATTCCTCCAGAGTAGAGACTACTGGCTTGGGAAGAGTTCATGTGCATGTATCTTAAGAAGTTTTAGTGCCAAATGCTGCTATAATTTGTCAGGATTTGACACATTAAGAGTATCTGATGGTAGGTGGGAGATGAGGGTATGGTAAGGGCCAAATATTAAATCTATCAACAAAATCTTGAATGACTAAAGTGGCCATTAAAACTTTAATGTAATAATTTCAGCATAAAATTAAAATGCCAATGAATTACACTGCTCCTTAAAATGGATCTGGACTACAGAGCTGTCAATATAACTAGCTAAAAAGGGGGAAAACTGTTTTTCTTGGATAATTAAACTTATAAATGCTTATTACAGAAAATCAGAAAAAAACAGTATAAAGAAAATAAAATGGCGGGGACCCGCCCATTAGCTCAGTTGTTTAAGTGCCTGCTTAAACGAAGCAGTCAGTCTCTGGGAGTGGTGGTTCGATTCCCAGATACTCAAGGCAACCCAGACCAGCGCTGGAGGCAATATGGAGCCACCAAAAAAATAAAAATAAAATAAAATAAAATAAAATAAAATGGCAAGCACTCATAATTCTTTAAGAGATGACATTTTTTAAAATCTCTAATTTAGTTGCTTAATCATTATTTACATGTACTATAATTTATCTACAGTTGAGATAAATTCTATATTAAACATAATAAATGATGCAGCAGCTGTGAGAAATAATTCCATTTCCCTCAGAATTACGCTGTTCATTTTGAAAAGATACTGAATGCTGAGGGTCCATAAAAGAATAACAAGAAGGTCAGAGTCCAAAAAAAGAATAATGAAAAGTTCAAAAAGTCAGAAGACATTGTACATAATGATTTGAAAAATATACAACAAATTTTGTCCTGAAACAAGAAGAGCAACTAAAAAAACCATCTTGAAGTATACAGCAAGAAAGAACAGAGAACACATACTTAAACAGTAAGACATTGATTTGGTGAGAAAACACTTTATGTTGGGATAGTGTGCACTGCAATCACAAAGATGGCTGTGGCCCTAGAGTTCTGTTTGCAATGGCGACCAGTAAGAGCTGACTTTTTAGGAAGCCCCAGGAGTCATCCTACAGGAAAGCCTTTTCTTCCCATGAAAAAAGCATATACTGAGAAAAAATAATTAAACGTCAAACAAAACCTCAAAAGAATCTTTAAAGCTTTGCATGCCAGATCAATAGCAGTATTTTTCTGAAATAGTCGTTTTTTGCGGATCAAGATGCTTCTAGTTTCTACAGTAATTAAAAAATGCTTTCTGTGATATTATATAAATAAGGAGTCTAAAACAGGTAAAAATAGTGCAAGAGGGAAAAAAAAGAAAAAGAAAAAGGCAAGATAGAAACTACAGCAAAAGTGCTTTAACCAACAAGAATTCTGGGGTGGGAGACAGCTCAGTGGAGTAAGCGCTTCCCTGGCAAGGGCAAGGGCAAGGGCCTGAGTTCAATCCCCGGTTCCATCAAAAAAAAAAGAAAAAGATTCTAATGACATACCTTTTACTTTTCGTTTTATTCTCCGATCTCGCTCCCGAATTTCATATTTGTCATCATAGTAGTAGATGAATGGAGATGTTGGAAATGTCTGGTTAAACATTCGCCTTTCTGTACATTCCTACAAATTGTATATGAAATTATGATGTCACAAGGTTGCATTGTTCAACAGACCTTTTTGTGAGCTTCTAGACCATGTCAATTAGATACGAATCTGACATCATTGGTGCCTCATGTTGTGGCTGCTGGATGTGAACCTTGCAAGATACAGTGAGGGGTCACACAGCCCAACAACCCTAGTGTGCTGATGTGCAATACTTTTAGTTTTGGTTTTTTTCTTTCTTTACGAGACAGGGATTGTTATGTAGTTCAGGCTTGCCTTGAACTCACTATGTAGCTCAGGTGATCCTCAAACTCACAAGGATCCTTTTGCCTCAGCCTCCAGATATTGGGGTAACAGGTATATGCCACCACATCCAGCAGGCTTGGGTTTTCTTCTCTTATTTCTGTACCTGTGAAATTCTTATCTTTATCAACTGTCCCTGTCAAACCCCTCCCTCAGTCTCAATTAATAGTTCTGAGGGATAGTGCTAATCACACTTGTACTATCCTCTGTTACAGTGTTTATTTTACTCACCCTGATGCTAATATTTGTCCTTTCCCTTTCTGTCTCTTCCAATAGCTTTCTTCCCATCCCCAAAATGTGAGTGGTAAATTCTTAGCCCTTTGGTCTTTTCTCTAGAGATTGGTGGTTTGCAAGCTTATTTCAACTTAACATTGACTAATTATTAGGGTAGCAATACTTACAGTGTAGAGTGGAGTGGTGGTGGGTTATGTCTACTGTGAAAATGTTGCTAGGTAATTCTGGATACTCCAAAGGAAATTTCTCCCCTCTCTGCTTCCCTACCCAAGTTGAAATCTTTCTTCTCATCCATTTCCCTAGGGCAGCTCCCCATGCCTCTGGCCCTCCTAAATATACTTACAAATACCACTGTGATCTGCACTTCTCTCCATTATAGGTTTCTATTTATCATGAACTGTGACATAAAACTCTTCAGCATGTCTGAAACATATTTTCTTTGAAGAAGGTTTCCCTTTGGAAATTTTGTTTTCTATCTATCCTGCCTAAAATTTATTTATAAATGTTAACATTTCTTAGCTAAGTGTAGAAGAAAAATCAGAATAACTTTTTAAAAGTGAAATATCCACATAGAATTTAGCTGACTCATCACTGAACTGGACTGCTAAGATATCTGACCAAGTTGGTAGGAATACATTTTATGCACTTAATTTGTAGCTTTAAACACATGATGAATCATTCTAAATACATTGAAGTAAAAAGAAATCTATATTTATCTCTCATATAAAATTAATTATTTTACCTTAACTGACTTCCACTTTTCCCTCCAAGAAGGAGTTTTCAAGAGCCAGCTTATGGTTTTGTTGATGCTATTTAGTTTTCCATATCAATAACTTTATTTATCTTTATTGCTTTCTTCCTTCAGTCACCTTTACTCTGTTATAGCTTTTTGGAGCGGGCAAGTTATAAGGCAAACTTACATGATAACATCAAAAATTTTTCCATAACTTTTATCTATACTGGTAAAAGGTTCCTAGTTACAGGAGAAAAGATAACCACCAAAGATGTGGGTCTATGATTCTAACCATAACAGAAATGAAAGGCTGTAATTAAGAACAACAGGGCTGGGGATATAGCTCAGCAGCATAAGTGCCTGCCTGGCCAAGTGCAATGTCCTGAGTTTGATCCCTGGTACCAAAAAACCAAAAACCAAAAAACAAAACAAAACAAAAAAAAGGCACTAAACTCATTGGTACAAGTACTATATTTATAAATAGAATACTCTAGTATACTGCAATGGTGGGATATGGAGCAATTTCATCTCTGGTAA